TAAAATATAACTGGGCACTGACGTAAACTCTCGACCGTTTCACTTTGTTTAATTAGTTTTCTGTTTGGCGTTTATTCAGCTGTGTGAAAACCCCGGAGGAACCCTCCCGAGGGATTAATAAAGTTAAATTTTATTTAATCTAATCTAATAACTTTAATCTCATCCAAACCGATTTACTCACGAACAAATAAAACACTGAAAAAGCCAAACAATAACATTTTTAAGTTATCAAAGTGACTTATGTTTAACCCGAGTAGTGAAAGACCGCGGGGGTTTGAAAACAATGTGTGAGTCAGCTCAGATATTTGAAGTTTACACAGCTACATTCTCACCTGAAAACATGTTAAAAGTTTTTTTGCGACCCAGAAAGACAAATAAGAGTAATATTAAAACTAAGTCGCTGCCGCCGTTGTTGGAAACTGGAATTGGCTGGGCCGCGCTATGAATTCTGCGATATGGTTTTTCAATTTTGTTGTCCGGGTGGAAAATCGGGAGAAATCCGGGAGAATGGTGGCTAAGGGAGATTTTCGGGAGGGGCACTGAAATTTGGGATTCTCCCGGAAAAATTGGGAGGGTTGGCATGTATGCCACAATTGTGGCAAAATCACTAACCTTGTCAAACACCTCAGAGTAAACCATATCACAGAATATGACGAGCGTATTGTAACGTTGGGTTGTGTTGTGTGGTTGAGAAGAGGCGGCAAAACACCTAGCAGGCTAGGCGGAAGGATACACACCCACACTGGTATCAGTAATCCACGGTGGTTCTTTAATACGCATTCTTCAGCAACCGTATAAAAGCCCGGCTGAACGGCTGCGGCTCAACAACAAAATGCCCAGCGTTCATACAACCCAAGCGCTGCAAACAAAACAAAAAAAAGGGTCTCGAAAAGAAAACATAAGTCCGTCCCTCGTTAAGCACGAGCGTGAAGGCACGTGTCCTCATAATCACAGAGAGAGAGAGCGAGAGAGCAGTGGCACACACTGATGACACCATCAACCCTCGACTTGGGTGTCTTAAAGGGACACCACACCATAACGGCTGTTACAGTATGTTGAGATGAACTGAAGAGGAGGAGAGGGACAGGTGCTGCTAGGGCGAGACAGACGTCTCTCACGGGTCCTTTAGTGCTGCAGGCAGGCAACATTTCAAATAGCGCACAACTTCATTTTTTTTTAATTTCTATATGATGAACCCTACATTATTAAATTCAAATTCAAATTTTCATACACAGTCATACACAGTATGATATGCAGTGAAATGCTTACACAACTGCTCGTGACCTAAAGAAAAAAAAAAGGCTATGAATAAGATAGGAAATAAATATGAAAATTAAAAAGGGTCAATTTAACTAGGAAGGAATAAAATAAAATATAAAAATGAAAGTTAAAAATGAAATAACTGTACAACAACAAATTAGAATGAAGGGTAAATTTAACTGGGAAAGAACAAGATAAAATATATAAATTAAAGTTGAAAATAAAATAACTGTACAACAAAATACACAGTATAGAAATATATAAGAATGTATGAAGATTATGAATGTATTATGAATGTATTAAGTGATAAGAACAAGTAATCTGATGTCCTGTAATCATTATGATGCTATAATTTCAGTATCGGATCAGTATCGTCGATACCACCCTGAATATTACTTGGTATCGGATCGGAAAGGAAATCAGTGGTATCGCACATCACTAATCTTTGAGCTACGGACTTATCTGCACTAAGGGTAAGAACTTTTTTGACTTAATTTGAATGAGTATAAATGAAATGTTTACAAAGTTATGATGCTGCAAAGTAATGTATGGCACAAGTGCTGGCGAACTTTTTCCTAGCACTCAAGCAAGGCTAAGCTAGTTGAAATTTTTACGTAATGTTGGATTTAGCCAATTTTCACAGTTTGAAAGCATTGTCTGGTGTCCTGTATACTGCTTAACTAGCACCAAAATTAATTACTGCGTGTACTTAACATCAAGTTGTACTTAAACATTATCTTGGTTTTTCTCTATGATTAGTATTAATAAAGGACTGTATTAGACCAAATTAACGAAGTTCTAATTTTTTAAGAGGAATACGGGAGGGTATTTTCACTATCAGAGCAACCAAAACTGCTTTGGTGTTGTCTTTATTAGCTTCATTCCTCAGCTTTTGTCCCTGTGTTAGGAGCATGCACAGCAGTCAGAGAGGCAGATCAGTGAGCACTCTATTTCTGTAGAAGACATCATCATTTTTCTTGCCATTGTTCTCATTTTTCCAGAAAAAGCAAATAAAATATAGGTGTTCTTGATTTGAGGTGTTGTTGATTTGTTCCAGACTGGGAAGAGTGAATCTACAATAGGCAAGCAGCTTGGTGTGAAAAAATCAACTGTGGGAGCAATCATCAGAAAGACCACTGATAATCTCCCTCGATCTGGGGCTCCACGCAAGATCTCATCCCGTGGGGTCAAAATGATCATGAGAACGGTGAGCAAAGATCCCAGAACCACACGGGGGGACCTGGTGAATGACCTGCAGAGAGCTGGGACCAAAGTAACAAAGGTCACCATCAGTAACACACTACAACGGCAGGGAATCAAATCCCGCAGTGCCAGACGTGTTCCGCTGCTGAAGCCAGTGCATGTCCAGGCCCGTCTGAAGTTTGCCAGAGAGCACATGGATGATACAGCAGAGGATTGGGAGAATGTCATGTGGTCAGATGAAACCAAAGTAGAACTTTTTGGTATAAACTCAACTCGTCGTGTTTGGAGGAAGAAGAATACTGAGTTGCATCCCAAGAACACCATACCTACTGTGAAGCATGGGGGTGGAAACATCATGATATGGGGCTGTTTTTCTGCCAAGGGGACAGGACGACTGATCCGTGTTAAGGACAGAATGAATGGGGCCATGTATCGTGAGATTTTGAGCCAAAACCTCCTTCCATCAGTGAGAACTTTGAAGATGAAACGAGGCTGGGTCTTCCAACATGACAATGATCCAAAACACATCGTCCAGGCAACAAAGGAGTGGCTCCATAAGAAGCATTTGAAAGTCCTGGAGTGGCCTAGCCAGTCTCCAGACCTCAACCCCATAGAAAATCTGTGGTGGGAGTTGAAAGTCCGTGTTGCTCGGCGACAGCCCCAAAACATCACTGCTCTCGAGAAGATCTGCATGGAGGAATGGGCCAAAATACCAGCTACTGTGTGTGCAAACCTGGTAAAGACCTATAGTAAACATTTGACCTCTGTTATTGCCAACAAAGGTTATGTTACAAAGTATTGAGTTGTATTTTTATTATTGACCAAATACTTATTTTCCACCCTGATTTACGAATAAATTCTTTACAAATCCTACCATGTGGATTCATGGATTTTTTTTTCCACATTCTGTCTCTCACAGTTGAAGTGTACCTCTGGTGCAAATTACTGACCTCTGTCATCATTTTAAGTGGGGGAACTTGCACAATCGGTGGATGACTAAATACTTTTTTACCCCACTGTATGTCCACACGTACAGGGGTCTTTTTGAAAACAGAGATTTTACCTTTTTGTTTAAAAACAAACAAACAAACAAAAAGTCCAGTCCACACGTGCAGTTTTGAACAAATATCTCCGTCCACATGTAAACGCTAAAAACTAAATGTTGGCCAATCAGAAGTCTAGAAGCCTAGGAGGGAAAGAGTAAACAGGGTTTTGTGCCCTCACAAAACTTTAAGTACTTCTGAAAAGTTTTTGTATTTTTCTGAAAAGGTAGCTTATTTTGTGTTACTTTTCAAGTGCCTTCATCATTTCAAATGTTATTAGCTAAAGACAATATTTTGGCTGATGTAGACTCGCAACTTAGGAATGAACAAAATGCATACAGCATAAGTAGTTTAATTAAAAAAAAAAAAAACATTTATTCAAAACTGATGTCGGGATTTTGGGTTGTGAGAGCGTCTGTGTTCAATGTAGAAGTTCACTCTGACGCCTCTGTCTTTCTAAATGCAGGGACAGTAACTGCATGTGTATATGTAAGCGTGTAAACACTGCAGATGGTAAGATTAACAGCAACAGTATTTATTTATTGTAGAAATTAATCTCATGTAAACAATAACGTGGCGCACAGCGTGACGTCAAAAACGGCACACATCTTTGACGTTGCGTGACTAAATCTGCGTTTTCCTCATCCATACTTAAACACAAAAACTGAGTTTTCGAAAATCTCCACCCTGGCAGGAGATTTAAAAATCTCTGTTTTCAGTGACCCAAAACGCCGTTTACATGTGGAGGAAAGGCCCAAACGCATAGAAACTATCTGCGTTTTCAAAAATACCCGTGTTCGTGTGGACGTAGCCTGAGATTCTGGCGTTTCTGGCAAAGTACATTTAAATTTAAAAGTCAATTCAGGATTTTAATGAATCCATAGCACTTAATTCAAACTAAAATCGATTTTAATCGGAAAATCAGTTATTGAAACCTACCCCTAATTGTGAGTAAGCTTGTGAGATGGTTCAATTCAATTCAGTTTTATTTATACGGCACTAAATCACAACATCAGTCGCCTCAAGGTGTTTTATACTGTAAGGTAGACCCTACAATAATACATACAGAGAAAAATCCAACAATCATATGACCCCCTATGAGCAAGCACTTTGGTGACAATGGGAAGGAAAAACTCCCTTTGCAGGTGCTGTGTATAGTTCAAAGGCTGCTTTGCTGAAAAATGGAAATAAATCACGAGCTGAAAATAATAAAGATTGATGTACTAGAGCTTATTATATAGAAGTAGATCTTTGCCCACATTGACTTCTAAATATCTAAAGAAAAATATCTATCTTTGAAAACTGTAATGCCTTTTTCAGCTATCCATTGGACTCAACATGCCTTGGAATTTACTTTGTTTCAAATCTGTCTAAACAAATGCATCTTGTATTACTTGATGAATTAAAACAGAAAATGGTGCTTTTGCCAGTGAAGTCTGGATATATGGCATTGCCACTGCTGTACTAGTTGGCTTCTTTTTGCTTTCTCACCAGCATGCTACCATTTGCAGTTGTTGATTTTCTGGATGGTGGAGGTGTATCCATAATTCCTTGCAAGTGGTTTACAGGACCAGCGGAAGATTCTTGTTTCTGGCCACCAGGGAGAGTCAATATCAATAAGGCTGTAAAGGATGGAGTTACTCCAGATACAAACTGGTCACAGTACAGAGTTCACATCTTGGGGAAAGCTGGTAAGAAGCATTTTTATTTATTGCTACCAAATATTCTGTCATTAAAGACAGAACAAAAAATTTCTCTGTAATTTCACTAACAACATTTTGTTGATGTATGTCAAAAATTTACAGAAAACTATGAAAATGCCAGGGTGAAACTGCGGAGGTCTGAAGCAACCTCTGATCTGCAGACTGAGTCGGATTCTGGAAGCAGATTGGGAAAAGGGAAGCGGAAAAGGAGGTAATTATGTTTCTTAAAAACGCCTTAAAAGCAACAATTTATCGTGGTGATTATAAGAAAAACAAAAAAAAATTGACAGTGTCTTTAGCAGACCATTGCTGCTCACCAGATTTTGATATGATCTTAAAATAGCACTTTGTAACTTTTTGACTTTTAAAAATCAGTTTTAGACTCCTTTTGATGCCGGACTATACATTAATGTTTTTAGTTTGTAGGACTAACCAGTAACTAAATTGTTTGTGGGGTTTTTTAATATTTTTTAAAATTCATTTTAAGGCCAGTGATCCAGTCAAGCTCGGATGAGGATTGGGACAACGCTGCGGAACAGCCAGAGACCTCATCACCATCAGCAATGGAGAATAGACATTCAAGTGAAACTCCCCACCAGAACATCACTCATCCATTTGTTCAGCTACCACCACCCTCAACTCCTTCACCTGTGGTTTCACAACCAGTTCCAAGACAACTTGTACAAGCCACCAATACCAGCATGTTTGTACGTGTTCTAACCCTCCTGGAAGACATTAAGGAGACTCAGAGGATCCAAAGTCGAATGCTACAGTCTCTCCTCAAACAACGTGATGGACCAGTTGCTGCAGTATTACCCGAGGGTGCTGTTTTTCCTCTCCGGACAGTCGCAGACGTGGAAGTAGTGGAGCAAAAACTGTGATAGACCCTGTAAATAATAATGATGTAATAACAATAGTCATTGATTAATGCCTCAATCTGCGTTTTATGCTAGCAGTTATGACGGGCGATCGTGGCTCAAGAGTTGGGAGTTCGCCTTGTAATCGGAAGGTTGCCGGTTCGAGCCCCGTCTTGGACAGTGTCGGTCATTGTGTCCTTGGGTAAGACACTTAACCCGTTGCCTACTGGTGGTGGTCAGAGGGCCCAGTGGCGCCAGTGTCCGGCAGCCTCGCCTCTGTTAGTGCGCCCCAGGGTGGCTGTGGCTACAATGTAGCTTGCCATCACCAGTGTGTGAATGCGTGTGTGAATGGGTGGATGACTGGATATGTAAAGCGCTTTGGGGTCCTTAGGGACTAGTAAAGCGCTATATAAATACAGGCCATTTACCATGATCAAGGAAAGTTGGTGTTTGTTCAAACATGGTCAGTTCAATGAAGTAGTGGAAGGTGAGCTTCACAAAAGTTGCTGTTTTTGAAAATAAAATAAGTTGTACTTTACAAGTTGTGCCACGCCAAACCTTAAGAAAATACTTTTGGTGGATCAGTCATTTAGCTCTTTGCATTTAAGCCTAATTACTGTGTAGCTATGCAGGTTTTCTTTTAGGTGTGACTGATGGTACTACTGTCAGTAAAATTATTGTCCTTGTGTGTCCTAAGGTTGCTGTTGTGGCAGAGATCGGAGGGAGCACTGTTGATGAAGCCACCAGAAGAATGATGGCTTTCATTATGGACAATGCTCTATCCAGGCAATATAACTTCGTTGGGCACCATGGAAAGCGGGAATTTCGAGGGCTTAAAATTTTTGAAGTGCTATATGGTAAGCTCATTAGTTTGTAAGATATTTTGTTGATGTTTGAATAACAGATGCTCACTTCAGCTGTAGTCAGTCTTCCAATCAATTTAATCACTGACTTAAGGTTTTTATACTTTGGTTCAACATTTATGTGACATCTTATGCTGTGTCACAGTATAAATATAAGTATGTAACAAAAAAAAGAGAATTACAGCTGTGTCTAGATTCAGTAATAAAGTCTCACTTTCTTGTGGTCAATATCTGTGCTTTACAGGCAGCTTGAAAAAAAATGCTCTTACAAGCCAGATTACCAGAAAAGAGGCAGAAAAGGCAGCATCTAAGTGGTTTATTGGTACAAGAGACAGAGGAGGAAATCGCATGGCAAGGGCTAGGGCTGCTCAATTAATCGAATTTTAATCACGATTACGATCTGGGCTTTCAACGATGATTAAAAATGACGGAGCCGATTATTAGCCCCTCCCTCATTTATCCGCGACACCTTAAAGGCCGGTCCGTGAAAATATTGTCGGGCATAAACTGGTCCGTGGCGCAAAAAAGGTTGGAGACCGCTGATTAAGAGGACCCGAGGGAAGCTCGGAAAGCTAAGCAGAAGTTATTTGGAGAGGAGAGAGTGACTGCCGTTGGCTGAAAAGAGAGGTAAAAAAAAACTTCAGTGGTGTTGCACACTATTTTATATTATTTTTTAAAGTCATTGTTAACCCTTTAAAGCCGGTCGAGCAGCACGCTCCGTTTTGTGTAACTATTTTTAAATCCCTGTAGGACCGGAACCGTGTAAGCTAGCGCAATAACCCGGAGGAGTTGTACTTACATCTGATGCCATCAGCTTGTCCTCGGTCACGGTTTCCTTCCACATAAAGCTTTGCAAAAACTGCATAAAAAGCGCTTGCAGCAACAAAAACACAATATTCCAGAAACACGCTTTGCCGATCCGATCAGCTATTCGTAACACTTCCCACATTGAAACAGAGGTCAGCGCGAACTACCGCATATCCGCCATTTCCTGCCCGAAACCGGAAGTGACGTCATTTTTTACTCGTAGGCCTTAAAAGCCTATACTGGTCATGTTTGACTTTTCTGAATAGTTTCTGAGATGCTTAGAACTCGAATTGCACTGCTGGAAATAGTTTATTTTGATGCACATGCTGTTTTCTTTGCAAATTTGCATCATAGGATTGTTTTTTCGTTTTTCCTGCAGTATATAAAAATTGCTGTATCTCCAAAATAAAACTATGAAGACACTCAAAATAAATTTCCTGTTGTTGTAAACTATTTTTTGCAACTTTTTTGTATTTAAAGTTTTGAGGGATAAGCCTCTTAAATTTCTCCAAGTAGAAATATATGTAAAAAAAACAAAAATGATTTTCAATTTTTTTTGTAGTTTATTGCACTTTTTTGCAATTAATGTAGTTACTATGGACTTAATGCATACATATTATTAAAATATGGGCTATAACAGTTGCATAGCAAATTAAAATGCTCCCACAAATGGCACTACAACATGTAAAAAAATAATATAAGCTCTGGTGGACTTGGTTCTATAGTAGGTCTTAAAGGGTTAAATAAATATCGTCAAATAATCGAGATCTCAATTCCAGTGAAAATAATCGTGATTATCATTTTTGCCATAATCGAGCAGCCCTAGCAAGGGCACAGTGTCGCGTGCAAGAGAGGTATACCTTAGTGACTCGGTTTAGATAGACTGTGGAGATGAAATTAATTAGAAATACTTTATTATTGAGGGAAATTATGTTTGGGTTGTTTTTTTTTGGGGGGGGGGGGCTCATCAGCTCAGGTTGTTCTGGAGGGTGATGGCTGCTGCCAGGAATGACCACATATTTCTCTCTGGTTTGCAGCATACTTGAAGACGGCTCTCACTAAACCATTTTTTGGTTCCTCACTGTGTTACGGTATGTGAACAATTTCCAGTTATGTTTAGCAGTTTGTGCAATATTCTTCTTTGCACAATCAGCTCCAGGAACTCCAGCGCCAGCCTTCTTTACCAGTGTGTCACCAGTGTGACTTCAAACTCACAGACTCTGATACTGCTGCCCTAACAAATGGCTGGGAAGCAGATTGGAATTTCCACAAGAGACTTGTAGAAGATATTCCACATCTTGGTGCAGACATTAAAGTAGTAGTTCCTAAACTTTATCTGATGGCCCTATTTTTGTTTTACATGAAAATCTTCGGTGCCCATCCAGCACACACCTCAAGAAGTAGAATCTGTTCTCTCCTTGGTAGATGTAGTCGTTACATTTCCAGTCTTCTCCCTCGTCTCTCAGCATGTAAACCGTGCTTTGTTTACTCCTGTTCCCCCTGAAATCCACAATCATCCATTCTGTTTTGTGTTTACTATGAGGTGATTGTTTCTGCACCATGCAACTGGTTAACCACGTGCCTGTTCTAAGCTTTGTCCATCACTGAGACACCCCACAACACTTATCAATGTAACTATGTAGATGTCTTTTAATTTGATTTTTGAGTGCCTACTTGGTTAATCCTTTTGTAAATAGCTTTTCTGTTACCATGGATACTCATGGTCTTCAAAGAGTTCAATGTAGGAGGTCAAACAACTTGTTCAGCACAACTTTCAAAACAACTCCAGTAGTATTGCAAATCTGATGTTATTTGTGAAAAAGTGCACTTTTTTTCAGGACCAATGGATCAGTGAATGAGTGAGAAGCTGTGTTTCAGTGCATTTCTTTTTCTTTTAAACTGTATAACATTGATTTGTTATTGTTTTGTGTATACTAGGGACCTTTTTTGTCAACATGTTCTCTAAACAAAAAAAAATATTTGTATAGTATATAAAAAATTACTGTTATACTGCATACTGTTTTAAAATTTCATATTAATCAGTATTAATAAAAAAGATAAACTGACTTTGTTGTACAGGTGATTTAAATTTTAGCTTACTGTATTATCCAAAATCCCATCTGGGCAAGCACACTTGGGGCCACCATGGAAATGGAGGACAAAAATAGCTGGGTCCCAGGTGGGTAACCCGTGTGGGCCCCAAATATCAGACCCGCTTCTATGCATATGGGCCCCACACATGTTTTTTTGATTGGATCTGGTTTGGGGCCCATTATTAACCCATCTGGGCAAACACATTTGGGGTCACCATGGAAACTGAGGACAAAAGTAGCTGGGTCCCAGGTGGGTAACCCAGGGGGGCCCCAAATATCAGACCCGCTTCTATGCATATGGGCCCCACACATGTTTTTTTGGTTGGATCTGATTTGGGGCCCATCATTAACCCATCTGGGCAAACACATTTGGGGCCACCATGGAAGCTGAGGACAAAGGTAGCTGGGTCCCAGGTGGGCCCCAAATATCAGACCCGCTTCTATGCATATGGGCCCCACACATGTTTTTTTGGTTGGATCTGATTTGGGGCCCATCATTAACCCATCTGGGCAAACACATTTGGGGCCACCATGGAAACTGAGGAAAAAGTAGCTGGGTCCCAGGTGGGTAACCCAAGTGGGCCCCAACTATCAGACCCACTTCTACCCATCTGGGTCCCACACTTATTTATTCGCTGGGCCGGATTTGGGGCCCATCCAGGGCCCGCCATTAACCCATCTGGGCAAACACACTTGGGGCCGCCATGGAAACTGAGGACAAAAGTAGCTGGGTCCCAGGTGGGTAACCCAGGTGGGCCCCAAATATCAGACCCGCTTCTACCCATCTGGGCCTCACACTCGTTTGTTGGCTGGGCCTGATTTGGGACCCATCCGGGGCCCATCATTAACCCATCTGGGCAAACACACTTAGGGCCACCATGAAAACTGAGGAAAAATTAGCTGGGTCCCAGTTGGGTTTCCCAAGTGGGCCCCAAATATTAGCCCTGCTGCTCCCTATTTGGGCCCCACATATGTGTGTTGACTGGGCAGTTACGGCAGTTTTTAACGTGAATTAACTTAAATTAATACTATCAACTAAATAACTAACACCAGATTTGATGTATTGCCTTTGTATATGTTACGGACAAACAGGTGTCTAGAGTTGAGTTCAACAGGAGATATAAATAATTTACAAAAACAATAGTTTTAAAAACGTGTTTAAACTAATTGTTACGAAAAAAAATACGTACGATGAAACTGAGAATTGACGTATAATTTTTCTGTCATCTAAAGTGATCTCATAATAATTTGGCGCAATGCT